AAAGGTACAAAATCTAAGTCCTCATTCTAGAAGAATACAACGTGAGTCCTCCGCAGACGACGGAGCTGCTATTTGCCGTATTGGTTGCACTGTTGGCTCAAGAACCCCACACTGTTGATAGAAAGGACAAAACGTTCCGAACTCAGTTCTTGTTACTATTCACAAAGTGTGGACATATTTAGGAAGAGCTTGTATGTTCCAGTGCCTTTTATTGCCAAGGTAAATCATCCACAAGGTTGTAAAATTTAATTTATTTATTACTGCCTCAAAGAATTTAAGGCAGCTAATAAGAACTACACATAAAAAATTGTAATTAGCAACAGAAGGAAAATATTGAATGTTTTCAATATTTTGATACTGAAATAAAAGTTAATGTTGTCCCTATGCAATTTCTGTACTTAAACTGTTAACTTTCATTTTAAGCTTTTTGGATACAAACGTTATACAGTGTTTTAATTTTAGTTTAGCAAGCTAATAAATAGGAGAGATGAGCTTTTACTGAGTCTCTATATAAGAGGGACTAATGTTCCAAAAAGAATAAAAAACTGTCCCTCTAGCCCTGAAGATATAACAAGCATCTCAGCTTATCTGCTATGAATTATGGCAGAGTACATACATTTTTACATAGACAACTTTTTCATATTACATTATTTCCGGAAAAAGTTCACCAGAAATTGGATAACCAAAGTCCTAGAACTGTTTAGGAAATTCAAGTAGGAGACAGGGGAAACTTCTACAACCTTGTGGATGATTTACCTTGGCAATGAAAGGCACTGGAACATACAAGCTCTTCCTAAATATGCTCACACTTTGTGAATAGTAACAAGAACTGAGTTCGGAACATTTTGTCCTTTCTATCAACAGTGTGGGGTTCTTGAGCCAACAGTGCAACCAATACATTGTTGTTAATATTACTTAATGAGCATATATACGAGCTGCCCATCTTATTATTTCAAATCAAGATTTCACACCAATAAGTCTTTTCATTAGGAATACTGAAAGATCTAAATGCTTTTTCCATGTAAATTTTAATCAACTATGTATTCTCAGATTTCTAAAAAGCCAGCTTAAAAGCAAGAAAATCCCATATCCAACTACGTACATCTAAAACCACCCCTAGACACTTACATTGTCTTTATCATCCATGTCAACCCCAAGACTTCGCATCTCACTCTCCAAAACTTTCCGTTCAACCTGGAGAGGCAAGAGAAAAACGTATTTTAAACAAAATTAGTTTTTTTCTTTTAAAAAGTTTTATTGGCATATTATTCACCTATCATACATTTTAATAGTTCAATCATATTAAGGGTTGTGAAATCATCACCACAATCAATTTCAGAACACTTTCTTCTTTCTCATACTCCTGATTGTCAGCTCTCCATTCTCTTCAGGCCCCTCAGCTAAAAAAACTCTGCCTGTACCAATGCCAACTCAAAACAACCCTGTAGGACAGGGTAGAAGTGCCTCTGCCAAAATTTCTACTTTTAAGTGGGAAGAGTAATTCTGACTTCAAGCTGAATATAACTATAGATCCACTCAAAATTAGTTTTATGTAATGTTAGAAAGAATCTCAAATGCAAATTCACTTTTAATGATAGTCTATAATGTATATGGCTTTAAAAATTAGTTTTCTATTTGGGCACTGTGTTAGACAGGGTTCTCTAGAAATATAAACCAAATTGCTGATAATATATTTATTTATAAAGATATATAACAAGAAATGAACTATTAAATCATATACAGATAAATATATAATA